TATTTTTTAATAAAAGGGGAACTCCTCCTGGATTTGATCTCACTCCCTCCCAAACCCTAAGACAAATACTGTTGTCACTAAATTAAGCTGCAAAGTCTTTCATTAAGCACCACCCTTGGGAATTAAAATGTTCTTGGAGAGCTGGAGAAAGGAGCCGAGCTCCAAGAATGGAACAGGCACAGGAATGAAAATATGGAGAAATACACCCGGATATTTAATCCATAAACCAACACAGACACTCCCGGCGGGTTGGAAAAGCAATCACAGCCTCCCAACACAACCCTGGAGTTACAACTAGGTGTAAAGACAGGGATTGTCTTCATTAAGTGAAATATTAATGACCAGAGGGAACAAAACATTGTAAACACAGAGAGCCATGGCAGCAGCAGCAGCAGCAAAGAGGGATATTTTGGATAGAAAATCCAGGGATAACTCAGTGAAGTGTCCAGACAAGTGCTCAAAGCATTGCTGCCGGGGTTCAGTGGCCACTGCAGCATCTGCAGGGAATTTTCCCAGATACCTGAGACATTGAAAAGGAAATTTCCAGCCACAAAACATCTGCAAAGTGGGAAAAAATTCTGGCCAGAGAATGTCTGGAGTGCCTGGTGTACATCAGGGATTCTGGAGCCCGTGCTGGAATAACATCCATGGGAATGCCACTTGCAGCGTGGAATATCCACCTGATGCCTCTGTGGAACACATCTGGTGGCTCAGGCATCCAGAGCTCCCTCGGGAAATGCTCCAGCCAGGCAGAAAACAAGGAAGGTTTTTCATTCTCCTGTCGGAGGAAGGGGTTTGGGGAGTGGAGATTTTCCTGGCTGCCGCTGGAACTTTGGGAAAGTTCCTGTTGGATGAGCCCCCAGAGGAGGAACGTGCCTGCCTCATCCAGAAATTCCAGTCGAGGGTCTCCAGGATTCCCCACTGCAGGACAATTCCCAGGCAATGGAAGCTCTTTTTCCTCTTACAGGTAACACTGAAACCCCCCATTTCAGCAGGATCCTGGGGAAGCATTCCAGAATTAGTCTCCACAGCCATCAGCATCCCAGTGCAGCATCCCTGACAAAGCACATTCTGGAGGGAACAGACTCAGCCAAAACAGACCTGAGGCTGACAGGGCAATTTTCCCTCTTTTCCTTGTAAAGCTCCTTTCTAATTATAATCCCTGCTGGGTGTGGTTTATTTTTGGATACTCAGGATTGGGAGGAGCTCCAGGAGAGGAGTGGGGGCATTCCTTTTTACTGGCTGGAATATTTTGATTCTTAAATTAAAAGCAGCCTGATCATCCATGACCTGTGCAGAGCCAGGAGTATTTTATATCTTTATATCTTGCAAAGCTCTGTCTTAGGCCGGGTTTAAGGGAATGAAGAGAGTTGTTCTACCTTAAACCTAATTTAAGTAAATGAAGCACCATAACCAGACTGAGACCATCCCAACAGATCTTCCCTGTTGTTTAGGAAGGGAAGTTAATAAACCCTTTAATTTTAATTGGGTTTGTTTGGGTTTTTTAGTTTGGGTTAGGTTTTTTAGATTAGGGGAGGGTTTTAAGCAATATTCAAGAGAACTGCTGGAGATAAGGCCAGAAATCTTCACATTTAACACTAAAAATGTGTGATTTGGGTGTGACAAGGTGCAGAGCTGGTCAAAGGCATTCCTGCCCTGAGGAACTGGCCAGAACTGTCTCATCAGGGCCTAGGACTCGTGCCAGTTGTGGCTTTGGATTAAAAAGCTTCTTAATAATGCTCAGCCCCTTCCTCCTCCTCCTCCTCCTCCTCCTCCTCCTCCTCCTCCTCCTCCTCCTCCCCACCTTTAAAAAGGCCACAAAAATTAGTGGTTCCAAATAGCACAGCTGCAGGAGAAGCCACATTTTGATGCCAAGGTTTTGTTATTTTTGGGGTCTTTGATCTGTCCCTCATTTCCCAGGTACATGGGAGACTCAGCAGCACTCCCAGAGCAGGCAGGAGCAGGAGGGCTGCAAGCCCCAGTCCCGGCTGTGTGAAGGGTTCCAGTGAGCAGCAGGAGGGCATTTCCAGCTGCACATCCATGGGATGTGACCCCATCATCCCAAACACAACTGGGGGTGCCAATTCTGGCCAAATCCTCAGGGAAAACAGGACAGAGCTCCTTCCACAGCCCCCCATCCAGAGCAGAGACCTGACCCCCCCCCCCCCCCCATAGCGGGGGGGATGTTTCAGACAAGGAAACCCAGGAAAATCAGGATGCTCAAGGGGAATGGAAGTGGATTTTGAAGGTTGTAGTCATTTTTGAAGCCCAGTAACCACCTGGGACTATTGGTGTGGTGACATGGTGACAGTGACAGCTTCTTCTGCAGCCTGTCCAGAGCCACTATTGGAGATCTGGATCAGGGAATCACAGAGTTCTTAAGGCTGGGAAACACTTTTAAGGTCATCCAGTCCAGCACTGCCAGGTCCACCACCAACCCAAGTCCCCAGGAGCCACATGGAGGGGCTGGAGCGTATCCAGGGCAGGGAATGGAGCTGGGAAGGGGCTGGAGCCCCAGGAGAGGCTGAGGGAGCTGGGAAGGGGCTGGAGCCCCAGGAGAGGCTGAGGGAGCTGGGAAGGGGCTGGAGCCCCAGGAGAGGCTGAGGGAGCTGGGAAGGGGCTGGAGCCCCAGGAGAGGCTGAGGGAGCTGGGAAGGGGCTCAGCCTGGAGAAAAGGAGGCTCAGGGGGGACCTTGTGGCTCTGCACAGCTCCTGACAGGAGGGGACAGCCGGGGGGGTCGGGCTCTGCTCCAGGGAACAGGGACAGGAGGAGAGGGAGCGGCCTCAGGCTGGGCCAGGGCAGGCTCAGGGTGGATTTTGGAAACATTTCTGCATGGAAAGGGTGCTGAGGCCCTGGCATAGGGCAGGGTTGGCTTTCCCATCCCTGGATGTGTAAAAGTACCTGAAATGAGACCAGCAGCAGTCTGAGAGTCACTTGAAGCCATTTTATCAAACCCTCTGGAGTTTCAGGTGGCTTTCTGCAAGCATTTATTAAAAATTACCTGATTTTACTGGTAATGTTCTTATTGATACTTCCCAGCTACTGGTTCTGCCCTGGAGTTGCCCAAAATCGCCAGGGCTGGACTCTGAGCCCACCCCAACACCCCCAGAAGCACCCAGAGCTCATCATGGTGCACACCCTAAGGAGAGGTGCCCCAAAATCAGCAGAATTCTTCCATCCTCAGCATTCCATGGGATACACAGGCTGCTGTGGATCCACCTGCTCTCACTTCCTCAGAATGCAACAGAACATTCCAGCCGAGGACTGTGGAATGCTGACTCTGTTTCCATTCTGCAGTGTCAAACCAGAGCTCATTGCTGTGCTCATCACATCTGACACTGGAATTCTACATCAATCACACCACAAGTTCTGCACAAAATGGGGGAAAATCCCTTTTCTGCTTAAAATAAGGCCTGTGTAGGCAAAAATTGTGGTTTTGGTGTGAGACGGCAAGGTGGAGCGTGTTTTCCCTGAAAAAACATATTTTTCAGATTTTTTTTTTTTTTTTTACAGAAAGCTTTTTTTCATCCTTTAGTAGTCTCTGATAATGAAGAAAGGAAAATCTGGGAGTTGGCCCTGCCTCTGTTCATAGATTTGGACAGGATACTCAAGCCTTGAGTGAGTTTCCCTGTTCTAAGGGAGAAAGGGATGCCATAATTCAGGTGGGAAAGGCTTTTTGAGCTGTTGGAGAAGTTCATATTTAAGCCTGACCCAGGATCAAACAACTGATTTGGCAAGAGCCTCCAGTGCTTGGTGAGCAGGGAATGACATTTCTCCAGTGGAAACACCCAGGGGATGAAGCTGGGATCTGTTGTTTGTCCAGCAGCTGCTGCTGGCACCAAGCAGGCTGCCTTTGGAACCTGTGTGTTCATCCTCTGCTGGAAGCAGCTGTCCCTGCAATTAGCAGGCATTGAAACAATTAAAAGGAAAATGAGGATGGAGGCAGCACTTGCAGCATGAAGGTTCAGAGGGATGTGCAGGGTTAAGTACAGGGATGCTCCATCTGCCCTGTGGGGAACAGGGAAGGGCTGATTTTCCAAGCTGGCTGCCTTGATCAGCTCCTTCGTGCTCTGGCAGCACGTCTGTGCTGCCTGCTCCCTTTTCCTGGTGCTTTTGAGGGTCCTTTTCCCCAGTTCCACATGAGCAGGTTGACATTCCTATGAAAACAGCAGCAAGATTTCTGTCTCTGCTGCTGGAGCAGGACACCTGGCTGGATTCTGCTTGGTGCTTTCCATAAAAGAGGATAATTCCTTCCTCTGGGAAGAGCCCTCTGGAGGTTTCCTGGTCTGACCCTCACTCAAGGCAGGGTCATTTTCAAAGTCACTTTGTGTTGCTCAGGGTCTTGCCCAGTCAGTGTTGTCATATTCCAAGGGTGGAGATTCCCAGAGTTGCTCTGGTTTATGGTGTTTAACCTCTCCATCCCCAGTTTCCCCCCATTTTGCAGGAGATGCAGATTTCCTCATGGCACAACCACGTCAGCAAGTCTGAGGACAAGGCACAGACTGAAGAGGGACAATCCGAGATGTTCCTGTGCTCAGCAGATTCCCCAAACTGTCCCCAATCCAAGCTGGGTGTCAGCTGCAGGAAAGCAGGGATGGAATGTCCTGGGCAGGGCACAGAGCTGTAGCCCTTTACCTTGGAACCGTGGAATGATGGAATATCCTGAGCTGGAAGGGTCTCCCCAGGATCACCCAGCCCAGCCCCTGGCCCTGCCCAGACCCCCACCAACCCCACCCTGTCCATCCCTGGCAGCGCTGGCCAAAGGCTCCTGGAGCTCTGGCAGCCTCGGGGCCGTGCCCATTCCCTGGGCAGCCTGGGCAGTGCCAGCACCTCTGGGGGAAGAACCTTTCCTGATCTCCAGCCTGAGCTGCCCTGGCCCAGCTCCAGCCGTTCCCTGGCTGCTGTCCCTGTCCCAGAGCAGAGATGGGAGCTGCCCCTCAGGAGGAGCTGCAGCCCCCGGGGAGCTCTGCCCTCAGTGTCCTCTGCTCCAGCTGAACATTCCAGGTGCCCTCAGCCGCTCCTCCCATGGTTTGTCCAAACTCTTCCCCATCCCTGTGTCCCTCCTTTGGATGCTTTCCCACACCTTTAGATCTTCCTGATGTTGGGGCATCCAAAGGTGTCCTCAGGGCTGACGGTGAGGCTGCCCCAGCCCAGAGCAGAGCAGGACAATCCCCTGCCTTGACCAGCAGAACCAGATGCCTTTGGAGAGCTCTATTTACCCAGAAGAATCACAGCTTCCACTTTGGGTCTTCTTGGAGAGAAAAGTGTGATGTCTGGGGGACAAATATTTCCCAGAGTGCAGAACAGCTGCTCTACCACGAGCTCCTGCAGCTCTGAAAATGGTAAAAAAACCTCCTCTTTCATCCCTCAGGAACTTCTGTTCCCATCAAACTCTGCCAGACACTTTTCTGGGTTACAGAGGCTTCTGAGCTTATGGAAACCCCATCCTAGATCTGTTTTTTTAGGCATCTCCATTCCTTTGAAATTCCCCAGCAGATGGAGGCTGAAGCCCTAAATCAGTTGGCCCCGGGACAGCTCATTCCCAAGGTTCACGTGGAAATTTGCAAGCCTTGTGATTTGGAATAAAAAGCCCCGGGATATCTGAGATCTCAGTCAGCCCCTCCCTTGATTTTTTTCAGAAGAAATTGCCAGAAAAAGCCCTCCTGACTTTAAGTTCTGCATTGCTCTGATGCATGTTCAGAGTGGAACATAATGGCTGGAAGTCCCTTTGCTCAAGGGTAAATTTATTTCCTGGCCAACATCTGGCTCCAGGCTCATCTTCCCTGCAATTTGCCAGTTGCTGGCATGAGGGTAAAAGAGAATTATTGAACTCTTTCTCTGCTTGGATCCAATTAGTCAAAGAAAAGTTGCTGGAGGTAAATGTGATGCACTCAGGAAAGATGCAAATGTTTGCTCTCTGCCAGGTCCTTCCTGCCACAGATCAGGGCAGGGGGTGGCACTGAGGTGATGGGGACACAACCTGGCCTGAGGTCACCCACTCCAGAACCTTCTTTCGCTACAAAAAAACATGGGGGGACAAAAGAAGGATAAGTGGGGATCATACTCACCTGGGATACCTCCATCAGCAGCTGGGGATGGCATGGAGTCACGGAATCATGGAATATCCTGAGCTGGAACACACAGGATCACCCAGCCCCTGGCCCTGCCCAGACCCCCACCAACCCCACCCTGTCCATCCCTGGCAGCGCTGGCCAAAGGCTCCTGGAGCTCTGGCAGCCTCGGGGCCGTGCCCATTCCCTGGGCAGCCTGGGCAGTGCCAGCACCTCTGGAGAAGAACCTTTCCTGCTCTCCAGCCTGAGCTGCCCTGGCCCAGCTCCAGCCGTGCCCTGGCTGCTGTCCCTGTCCCAGGGCAGAGATGGGAGCCACCCCTCAGGAGGAGCTGCAGGCCCTGGGGAGCTCTGCCCTCAGTGTCCTCTGCTCCAGCTGAACATTCCAGGTGCCCTCAGCCTCACATTCCCCCCAAGACCCTCCACCATCTTCACAGCCTCCTCTGAGTGCTCTCCAATAGCTTTAGATCTGTCCCATATTGTGGAACCCAAAACTGAACCAGCAGCTGCACTTTCTGGACCAGAATCTGCTTTAGACATTAAATTCTACTCTTTCAAGAAAAATAGGTGACATGCTTCCATTCCACGGATCCATTGAAAAGAAAGAAACCTGTTGCCTTAATGTATGTCCAACACAAAGAGAGGACCATGGGGCAGGGGGTCAGAAATCATAGGGACATCACTGACCCTCACAGTCAGGCAGAGGCATTTCCCACCCCCATCAACCCCTGCTCTCCATGACTGTCCATGTCTGGGCTGGACCAACCCATGGACAGGCAGGTCCTGGCTCAGGTGGAACCTTGAAAGTTAAGGAACAAGTCTGTCAGAATCTGTGCTGTTGATGATTCCGAGATTGTAGAAAGTCTCTGTCTTTCAGCCCCGCTGCCAAAGCAGAAGCCATAATTGGTCTGTGCTGGTTTCAAGGTTGTTTATTCTGTTTATCTCTAACATGTTCTGCTGCCCTGCCGCAGCTCTGTCCTGCAGGGCAGCGTGTGGGGCTCTGCCTCAGTGGGATGGTACAAACATTAAATACCACAAACTACCTGTGCTGGATTTACAATAATGTGCCAATATCTGTCACCTACATTGGACAGTGTGTCCCCAGCCTGAACCAACAGAAAAATGCCAACACCACAGTGAAACATGGAGGGCATGAAGAAGGAGAAAAAGGACAAGACACACCCAATTTCCTCCATCTTGTCCCCTCTGAACCCCTAATCTAGAAACCTAAAATTTTACTTTTGCACTCGTGCCACACTTAATTATTCCTTATATCAAACACTCAGAGCTTGTAATTCATCCTGTAAGATTGAAAACTCTTTTCCATGGACAGAGATCACAGCCAGTGTCTCTGGGGGCTCTGTCCAGGGGGGTTCCTGACCCCTGCCAGGGTCCCAGACCTGCCAGGGCAGCCAGAGGGAAGCCCTGGATTCCCAAAGTCCTCCAAGTCCTGTGGGTGTTACCTTTCCTGGCCACAGATTCACCAGAATCCTTCATCTCCAGAAAAAGACCCAGTAAAGGAAGAAGTTGAGGATCAAGGAGCAAACCCTGCTCAGGAGTGCAGGTGCACTCTGAGTGTTTTATAACTTCTTCCCGAGCCCTACTCCCCATAATCAGATTATGAAACCTTCACTGAAGTTAATGCAAACAAACAGATCATGCGGAGAGCCATAAAAATAAAATATCATAATAAAACCCCTAAATTGAGAGCATCTCCTGTAAACAGAGCGCTGTAAACACAGCAATGTGTCTCTCTGCAACGATATTTGGTGAGGTATGGAAGAGCCCCAAGAGATGGCAGGAAAACACAGCTGTTCTCTCCTTGCAGGAGGAGAGGGAATGCAGCACAGGGGTGAGGGATGGCTGCAGGGTCAGCACAGGCTCTGCTGCAATCCTGCAAAGGGAGGAGGGATCCCCTGGATGGGTCAGGCTGGAGGGACCCCAGAGGATCCCTGGGGCACCTCCCTGCTCCAGCAGGGCCATCCCAGAGCTCAGGGCACTCAGGCTGTGCTCACAGCTCTGCCATGGCCCCAGGAGGAGACCCCACAGCCTCTCTGGGCTCTGTCAGGGCTGGCACTGCCCAGGGCAGGAGTTCTGCCTCCTGGGCAGGGGCAGCTCCTGGGCTCAGCCCTGCCCGGGGCTCTGGGGCCATGGCTGGGGCTGGAGCAGAGCCTGGGGCTGCTCTGAGTGCTGCACACAGGGACAGACTGGGGGACACGGGGACAGACAGACTGGGACAGACTGGGACAGACTGGGACAGACTGGGACAGACAGACTGGGACAGACTGGGACAGACAGACAGGGACAGACTGGGACAGACAGACTGGGACAGACTGGGACAGACTGGGACAGACTGGGGGACACGGGGACAGACAGACTGGGACAGACTGGGACAGACTGGGACAGACTGGGACAGACAGACAGGGACAGACAGGGACAGACAGACTGGGACAGACTGGGACAGACTGGGACAGACTGGGGGACACGGGGACAGACAGACTGGGACAGACTGGGACAGACTGGGACAGACAGGGACAGACTGGGACAGACTGGGACAGACAGGGACAGACAGACACAGACAGGGACACCCAGGGACAACAGGGGCTGAGGCCCCTCTCACTGGGCTCTCTCCAGGCTGAGCAGCCCCAGCTCCCTCAGCCTTTCCTGGGCAGGGAGATGCTCCAGGCCCTTGCCCAGCTCCAGGAGCTCCTGTCCCTGCTGTGCTGAGGATCCCGAGCTGGGCACAGCACCCAGAGGTGTCCCCAGGGCTGGGCACAGGGGCAGATCCCCCCTGACCTGCTGGGAATGCTCTTCCTGCTGCCCCCAGGATCCCGCTGGGCCCCAGGTCACTCTCGTGGCTCAGGGACACCTCGCTGTCCCCAGCTCCTGACTCGCAGAGCTGCTCCAGCAGCTCCCCCCAGCCTGTGCTGGTTGTTCCTCCCCAGCTGCAGCACCTGCATTTCCTGTTCTCTGGAAAAATCATCCTGGAATTCAGGTGCTTCTGCTGGGCAGCAAACACAGCTTTGGGGTACAACCTGCTCCAAGGCTGTGTGAGTGAATGCCTTGGAAATTCCCCTCAGAAATGCCACATTTGGGCAGTGGAGGTGAAGCCAAAGTGTTCCTGTCACTGAGAGGTGGAGCCCAGGAGAATCCCAGAAATCTCTGGCTGTGATTTCAAAGGGTTCCTAGTACTGGGAAGAGGAGCTCAGGAGAATTCCAGAGGCTGTGGAGCTGATGAGGGCAGACCTCTGTGACAGATTCAGTTCCCCCCGGAATGGCAGATCCAAGCCCAGAGATCCAATTAGGAGGGATTTTTCCCCTCCTTTTGCTTTTCTGGGGTAACTCCCTGACACCAGGGGATTGTCTCTGGGAAGAGAGGAAAGCTGCTGTGTGTTCTTGGAGACTCCCAGGTATTTTTCCAGACTTTTGTCTGCTGAGCACACCTGAAGCAGTCAAGTCCCTCCGACTGTGCCCTGCTCCTGCTCTCACCCTGGGCAGGTGCTGACCCTGGCGTGTCACATCCCTGGGACCTGCCATCAGAAAGGACCTCCAGCTGCTCCTGGTGGCATCGTGGCAATGATGCCACACCTGGCAGGTGACAGAGGTGGCAGGGACACCCAGCCGTGCCAGCACTTCACAGTGCCTGTCCTTTAGGGGGTGACACAAACACTGTGCAGGGACTCAAAGAGCTTCTGGAGACAATTTGTGGTAAAAAAATAAAAAAAATTAAAATAAAATTAAAAAGGTTCTCTGTTCTGAAGTGTGAAATCCTAGGCATTCTCACCAAAAATTGGGCAAACATCTCTTCCCTGCAGCCTTGAGAGAGTGGCAGAGCCGTGGCAGGGGACTCTCCATCCCTGGGAATGTCCAGGGCCAGGTGGGACAGGGATTGGAGCAACCTGGGATAGTGGAAGGTGTCCCTGCCCATGGAATGAGATGGGATTTAAGGCCCCTTCCAGCCCAACCCAGCCTGGAATTTTATGAATCTGTGATTTAGTTCCTCCCAGCTCAGCAGAATTTCCCCATCTCTGTATCAGCAGAGCTGAAATCTTCAGCTAAAGGGCAGCGCCCGTGTCCTACACCAGGGAATCATTTCTGTCATCTCCCAAGGAAAAAGGCTCAGGACTGCCCCTTCCCTTCCCTTCCCTTCCCTTCCCTTCCCTTCCCTTCCCTTCCCTTCCCTTCCCTTCCCTTCCCTTCCCTTCCCTTCCCTTCCCTTCCCTTCCCTATTCCCTGAGGAGCTCTGTTCTGTGAGGAACCTTGAAATGATTGGCTGCTGCCAAAGCCTTTAGCAGAAAAATGGGACTTTTCTAATCAAGACCCAGCAATTATGCAAATTGCAGAGACAAAATGCTGATAAGAACAACAAAAATAATTCTGCCAATAATTATCACATTGAGTTTTGCTGCTTCTTATTAAAATCTTCCACTTTTCCAAAGAAATTTATATTTGGACACATGAAAAAATTAAAATATTGCTTGTAAACTGTACCTGAAAAATATTTCATGACCCCTGGGTATCTCTTTAGGGTCTGTAA